AATGAAAAGCATTTAATGAATGAAACAGTCCAGATTTCTTCGGCGTATTTTTAACACCCTTTTCGTCTTAAAGTATCCAATGAAACTTGTGACAGAATACATAGGATGTAAATCAAGCTGCTGCTTTAGTATTACTTTACTAGCTTGCAACATATAAACGAGTGGATCGAAATAAAGGCGAAACGTGAAATTCATGTGCGTGTTACGTAAGATACGCTCTTACTTGAAATCTATAAAAAGGCGTGCAATGAATATTGGTTAATGAGGGTTCTTTAAAACAAAATGTTGACGAATCCGCAACAATTAACATAAAATGTAGTTGTAAATATTTCTCAGATCTTGGCACCGAAATAAAAAACTTTTGATAAAACGAAAGATATCTCAGCGTTATTCTTTACTTGCTCTCGTTTTCTCTACCTTGTCACTTTTTAAAGACACCGCTACGTTTTTATTGACCCGACAGTAGTCCTCGATTTGCCTACAGGATTTCTATGTTAAATGTTTAATAATGCATGGCTTCCTGCTGGCCGGAAACCCCTTTGAACTATAACATTGTATAAATGAGGTAGATATAATGCCTTACAACTTGAGAAGCGCGCAGCCCCGGGCATAATGGCACGCAGTGGTACGCAAAATGAATCGATACGAGTATTTCTCGTTCTCGTGATTCTACCCTTAACTTCTTTTTGGTCAAGAACAATTGCCAGTTTCCAAGAAAAAAACGAAACAAAACAAAACAAATTTGTCAGATTTTCTTTTGTTTGTTTTTACCTGCTTGTCCTTTTTGTAAAGTTGTAACTGATTAATGATCAAACTCTGAGATCTAAAATCTTTTACTCAATAGATTGTGTACTGACTTTCCACCATAACTTCAATGCAGCAATGTCCCTAGGTCCCCGAGGATGACAAGAAAAAAACCGATTACATAACATTGGGCCAATTACATAATTAGGGGAGCTGTGATCTATTTGTGATGTTTGTTTTAAAAACTGCTTGAACAATTAGCTCTTGTAGTGATACCTAACGTGTTTAAAATTGGCAACAAATCCGCAAGCTCTCTCCTTGATGTTTTCAAAATCAACGAGATGAATTATTTAAACTTGAACAAGCTAAGTTAAGCCGGGTTAGAATTTTATTTCAAAAGGCTTTGTCCACGCGACCTAGCCTCTCAAAGCTACGGCAAGAGACGGTTTCACCGTCTTCTGTTGAAAATGCTTTTACGGGGAATTCTTGCAAGTGTACTGCTGTTTATACTGTAAGTATATAAGACACTTATTGACTAGTTGTTCAGTCTATATAAGTTTATGAGTGTGATATTTAACAGTAATAACGATCTGACGGTGTCGTATTTAGTCATGTTGCTTTCCTCGGTAGTATTCTTTTGAAACTTAGATTTAAAGACTTAAAATACAAGTCTGCCAGATTATTTGACTAAATCATTGAATATCCAAAAAGAAATTTTTTTATAATGTATCTTACGGTCGAAGTTTCACAATTGAATTTCATGAACAATACAAATACAATGGTGGTGTAAAGTAGAATTATCTTCGATGTATAGGAACTGTTATATTTCTCTGACGACAAAAGTAACTGAGAATTTGTACCCCAGAATTATAAACTTGAGCTTATCAAAAGCCGATTTTTTTCTATGAAGGTAAATTTCTCACACATTTCATTAATCAGATAAGCGAGCAATGCGAGAAGACTGTTTAAATGATTCATTAATGAATCAATAGTCTAGTTTTCTCGCATTCGTAAATTTCTTAAAATGTTTGCCTTCAAAAAGACGTTTGAAGGTGACATATAAAAAGCATTTTAACGGAATCACTATCTGTAGACTTTATGTTATATAATTATGTGTATCACTGTTAAAATATGATTATCATTCCGTAATAATAACTGGCTTTGGAGAAAAGAATTTTTATGGAACCGCCCTCAGGGCTAAGAATGTCTTGTTTATCTTCTATCCTTCAAAATTACGTGCATATTAAAAATCTACCTGTTTAATATCTAAACTTCGATATATAAAGAAGCTCATTTTGATTTTCTTCGAGGTACCAAACTACCATATATTGCGAATACCAGAAAATATCAAGCCTTGTTGTAAATTTCTATGTTTAACTAAAACTTTGTTTATAAATAAAATCTATATTTGTTTGAAATGAAAATTTCCCTAAGAAGAGTTTGATAGATGTTTTATCTTGGACATAGATGTTCTAAATCTACAATATAGTGATTTCCTGCCGATTATTAAAAAATAACTTTATTTGATCATAGAATGCCCAATCTGCCATGTTCGTAACTTAGTGATTCATAAAAGTTTTAAGCTTTGTATCTCTGGAAAAGAAACCAACATAAGATTTTAAAAAAGCTTTCGTGCACTTCTGTGGACTTGTTCACTAAGCCGTTTATGTTTATAACTTGTTCGACTGCGGCTTTCTTGTATCTTAAAATTTCTGTCGTAGCCATTGGTTGTGTATCAAAAATATTTATACTCTGTAAGGGGAGTTAAAAGGCTTCTAAGAGAAAACACCAACAACTTCTATACACTTTACTCGTACAAAATGTTCTCGCATAAACAGACTGTCATTCTCATGTCTTCATTCGTAACCTTTTAAACACCACTTCAAGTAATTAATGACGTGACGATAAGTATGTGCAATAGTTTTTTCCTTTTTTTTTTAAATAATTGTTTTATATCAGCAGTAGGTAATTTTTAGCACGTGGCTTGCACTTTGTACCTGTCGAATATATTGTTCTTTTGTTTCTCCACCCTGCATATATTTATCAACTTTGAAAAGAAGTTTACTCTTTGCGTTTATCAATCTCATTCTTCTTAAAAATATTAAAATTGTTTATCGTCTTCCCTATTCTAACATCCGTTAAAATTCTAAGAACTAATATTGAGGGCCCGTTAGGGGGGAGTCTAGAAGAGTATCCCATATCCCATTGATATTTGGCCCACATATCTCGTATGCCGTTAATTTAATCTTTAAAAAGTTACAATTTTCTCTCTCAATCCCGTCGGGTACCTATTTTAAACATCCCATATGCCATTAATTTTTCACCCAAATATCCGAACAGCCTTTCAGATAGGGCTTATATGATTTTAGTATCTAACATACACATAGTTATGCTATTACATAGAAGTTATGCATAGAAATCAGATTATCGAAGAACATAAATGAATCACTGATGATGTTGAAGCCCTTGAAGCCATTAATCGCTTCCCTTTATTTGCAACATCTTAATTTGCAAATAACAACGAGAGTCATATTAATTTGACCAATTTTTGTAAACGTAATCACAAAACCCTTCTTTTTTAACGACGTGTGGCAATTGTAAAATATGAAAACACACAAAAAACAGCTATATAGAATAAAAATGTCATAAGTTTGGGCGAAAACTGTCATAAAAAGTGTTCGTCACTTGCCCTACTTTTCATTATGCTTGTACTATTTTTAATTGTTACATCTTAAAAAAAAAAAAAAAAAACTATTCTCAGCTGTGTTTGTTTTCAGAGTTGTTTTTGCACTTTCACATGGATTCCTTTTGATTTTTGTTTTAATTTGTCGTTGTTTTAGTATATAAATATATAATTTAGGTTTATTAAAAGCTCTAACCTTCTCAGCTATTTTTCCTTTTAAAACATAAACACCAGACTCTTTAAGCCTCTATTTCTATTATATTTTATAAACTGGTTTAACTCAACCTTACTGTGCCTTTACAGGTATTTAACTAATGGATTACAACTTGCTCTTTACTATAGATCTCGAAAGTGGGTATTTTTTTCATCTTAAAGTATTGCTGTCTTTTCCTTCCGTTTTTTTTCAGGCACTGGAACGCAGCAGACAGTATGTATCGCTTTTTGTATTGTTAAATAGAGGATACTGGTGTTTGTAGATATGGAATTTCTCTTCGATTGTTCAACTTGATATATAAAGTTATTTTTACTTGTGAAGATATCATGTTTACGCGCAAAAGCTCACCTGGTATTTCACTGGTGTTTATATAGTGAAAGCTATTAACCTCCTGAAAACATCTTTTTCAAGCTTTCTGTCAGAGAAAGTTAAAATACAGCGCATAAAATCATAAAAATAAATTTCGAAATACGATCGATTACAAAAGAAGCGAAATTAAATTACGCCGTTTCGAAGTCTTCTTGACCCATTATCGTGCTTTCCGTGTTAAAAATGCGCCAAGGAAAACTGGACTAATTAATTCATCAAATGCTTTTCATCCGTGAAAGAAAACCAAAACTCAATACACAGGTGGACTCAATTCGTGCGAAAGTATTTATCTACGTTTACTACGCACATTTAACTGTTGACAACTAAGAACTCTTAATTAGACTGTGTTACACTTTAATATATTATTACACCTTTCATACTACAAATTAACATCCCAACCATTATTTTCGTATTTCTACTAGATAATGCAGTTAGGATGACTTCGAAGCGTCGTAGTTTAATTTCGCTTCTTTTTAAAATTAAGCAGAGAAGAATTTTACCATCTAAAAAAAGTGCAAGAACAAGCTTGACTGTCTCATTTATGAAATGTTTTTTTATTAATGAACTGAGACCAAGTCTCAACGCACAGTCAGACTCAATTCGTGCGAAAATCTTTAATCATTTTCAATTATGTTATTCTTGTATGCTTTTTATTGTTCTTACCCCTTTTTTACATTTTCATACTTTACATACTTTTACTTCTTTGTTTTATATTTAAACTTATGCAAAATTTTTATTTTCACTTTAAGCTTGATAACAACCGAAGTTCGGTCGAAATGTTGCGCGCTTTCACCATTAGTTTTCACTTCAAAAATCATATAAGAATATTAGTTTAACGAAAACGAAATCCACTCGCAGCACGATTCAATCTCTCAAAGAAAAATGCCCAAAAAAGAAAACTTCCTTCAAAATAGAAAATTGCTACTTTCTTAAACCAACAAACTTTATCAGCGCCTCTTTCTCGTTACTTTTAGCCTCAATTACCCTTTCTGTGGTATCCTGAGGAAGGAGTATCGAGAGAACAAGCACTGTACGGGTCACATGTTTTTTTTTTTTTTATACAGGTTCTCCACCCGGCTGTGTAAACTTCGATTTCGAACGAGGAAATCTCTACGGATGGACGAAATCAGGCACTGCATTTAACTTTCAACCAACTTATGGCGACAATCCGACTGCTCGTCGGAGACGTCAGCCCGCAAGGATGCAAGGGAAATGGTGGATTGGAACATTTGAAAAGCGCCCAAATCCGCACAGCCGCGCCGGAGCAATACAGGGAGATCGCCCAACTGGAACACTGTCATCTAGGCGGTTCCGAATCGTAGGGAATCACATTGACTTCCTGATTGGTGGAGGATGTAACATTCACTACACCCGGGCGGAACTTGTTATCGATGGCCGAGGCGTAGTGCTTCGTTCCAAAGGTAAAGTAGAGTGTTTTATTCTCTTCCGTTGATCAGAAATCGAGAAGGTTCTATTACCTTCCAAGGAACGCATAGTAAGCAGTCAAAATGGAGAAGAAGACGACGATTCCCATAGGAGCTTTTTCTGTCTTATGCTTGTCGCTTCTCCACTGACATCACAAGACTAACTAAGACGGACTGGTAATGCCTTTAAGACAACTGCGACTATCTTAACCCAACATTGCAGATCTTTGCAAAACTCGAATGTATGCATACGCTTGCATAGAGCGGTTGTCAATGGAGTGTCGAATGTAATTAAAAAATTACTTTTGGTTTTGCTACGATTTGAAATTGGGTGAGTAGTCTAATTGGTAAGTAATTGGTTTGATTTTGGTTTTAAGACACTCAGTTGAAAACCGCTCTTTGGTAACAATTCCAGATTTCAATTCTATCTGTAATTTCACTTGAGGATCATAGATCCTCAGATCTCCAAAAGAGGAAGAAAATGCCGAACGCTGAACGAAGTTGGATTTTGATGATCTGAACAACTATTTTTTTGGGGGGCGACAGGACGTTGTACCGAAACCATGACGCGCAGAAGATGGAACGTACGGGCGTATATTGGCAGGACCGGTTTTGTCCGGCTTGTGGATTATGGCTCAGGTGGATGGGGGCATATCAACTTTGATGACCTGAGAGGAAATATCCGATGCGAAAGTAAGTTTAACTCTCTGAATTGCATAATTTAGGTCTTATTTTAACTTGGAGATTAACTGGCGAGCGCCTTGCAACAACAATGAATTGTTAACAGCATGCAAGAATAGAATTCAGAAACTCTTCAGCTATGGAATATTGCGAAAAATTTAACCGGTTTATAGCTGAGAAATTGCCGCAAATCTTAGTGATAACTAAGGTTTACATCACCCCTATTCAGACCCCCTTAGGGCTCTTGTTGTGCTGTGCGAGAACAGTACAAAGTATAAGCACAAGAGTTTGCAGAGTTGGCGCTCGTTTAAACTTGACCTGAATTGCTACCTCTTATGCTTAAGTCGCTACTGGAAACCAAGCTTTTGACAGCCAGTGTCGTTCCTCATTCTTTTAGATAGGGAATCATTCAGGGAAAAAGACAACAGCAAAAAAAAAAAAAAGAAGAAGAGAAGAGAACTAAGAACTAAAAACAAATTTGTATTGATTAATAGTTAGTAGATCCTACTGTTAACAATGCGTTATTATCTCATTTTAATCTTCAGAGATTTGTAAGCACGCTCTTGGTATGCAAAATCGTCGGATCCCTAATCACGCAATCACAGCGTCTTCCAGCTGGGACGCAAATCACGCTCCCCATCTTGGACGTCTGCATTTCACTGCCCGTGGTAGATTACAAGGCGCGTGGAGCTCACGTTACAACAATCACTTTCAGTTTTTTCAAGTTGACTTTCGGAAACCAACCAAGGTCTCACATGTGGCCACGCAAGGCAGACAGAATGCAAATCAGTGGGTGACACAATATCGACTTGCTCACAGTCAGGACGGGATGAACTGGGCTCTTTACAAGCTGCGAGACGGAATCAAGGTAAGAAGATTCGTAAATAAGCACAGATAATTCCTCAAAAAAAGACATCTTTCCTTTATGTTAATGTTAGGATACCCACGTAAAAAGGCGCAACCATTTTCTCAGGGTTTCTCATTGAGAGTGCTCTATTCTCCGGAATATATCGGGTTAACGTCGGAAGTGCCAAATATATTCTGAGTTCGTCGGAGGAACCTGGTAAATAACTAGCATTTTAATGCAGTTAAAATTGTAATTTCGCGAATCTTTCACCTCAACTTCCGTGTTGTTCTTTTTTTGCAAGTGTAAGAGTATCCACACGTGCACTGATGTGTACCTATTTTCTTGTACCTAAATTTTGCTAACGTTTCAACTCAACATCCGTGTTGTACTTTTTTCCAAATATAATCGTAGCCACATGTGCACTGGTGTGCACCTATTCTTGTATATCAATTCAAGTTATACCGTAACTGTGACTAAGCAGAAATCGTGATATTGTTCTTCTTTCTTGTACTTAGTACTTTCGAGCTAACAGAGACAG